GTTGGAGGTCATCGCTAGTAGGTTGGAGACCATCGCTATTAGGTTGGTTGTGGTCCGGAGCTGCCACTGTCAGTGGAGATCGCGATGTGATTGGGCAACGAACATCGGTCAAACGCTTCAGGATGGCATAGCCGCGCATCTGCAAAAAGCCTCCTTGTGGATGGAGGCCCCGTCACAGGGTTCTGATTTCTGCCTGCCGGGACTACAGAGCAGTTGAGCGAGAGACATCCTGACTGTTGAACCTCTCGGGGTTCTGTGTGATCCAAGATGATTCCGATCGTGCCAAAGAATCAAGTTGGTGATAGAAAAGTTGGTTCGTTCATATGAGCAACTGTCACAATACAGTATGTATAGCAGAAGATGTGAGCCGCCTTCAATATTCAGAATTTGCAAGAAACAGAGAAGCGATGGGTACATGAAAGATGGACATTGTCCAAGTGTATTTGTGTGACATGAGTTTGTTCCATGTTGAGCTTCTTATTCTGAAGGGGAATTCGACATGTTCTCATGACATGGAGGTTTAAATGTAAGAGGCGAACACTTTGCAGCAGTCATCTCCTCTACAATCGGGGATTTGAAGCGGCACCCCTATCGATGCCCCAGTGGCACTCCAAGTGATGTCCTCGATCATGCCAGTCCGCAACTTGCCCACGTGAACATAGGCGGTTTGCAACCAACAACGATGTTACAGCTTGGTGAATGCTCTTAGCTGCTTGCAAAGCTCTTCAAACGTCAGCTGAGCTTTGCTGTTAGGATTTCAACGCATTTGTTTTCGACTTTTGCGCCATGCTGTGCCGTCCCCACCAGGTGGTCTCATCAACTTGGTCCGACGAGGGCGCCACAAGCTGGCTCACGGCATCTTAGTGAATAGCTCTGAGGACAGTGAGATGCCTTGATGGGCTTTCTATGCAGAACAGAACAGGATGCTCATGTGACCTTAAAAATAAGACAATTCAGTGTTCAAGCTTCTGGTGGTGCAGAAAGAATAGAAAGGATATGAATTGACATCCAGTTCGAATTTCTTGGTATGGCCACTCCTACAAAACCTAGATTTACTATCATGTACCTGAGGCAGCAAGGTGGATGCAGCGCTTTCAGGACCTGATGAAGCCTGAGCTTTTGTCCTGGGTGGCCTACACCTCTGGAGGAGCTGGTCCAGGTGAGGGAGAATCCCCCGCTTTACACGAATCTCTGAACCCTGAACTAATGAAACTGATCATGTACGTAAAGCATTGTTGTGTCGTTGTGCTTCCCAAGTGTGGTAGGCTGTGGTTGGTGGTCGGGAGTGGGTAGTGGGCCACTGGACCAGGGACACGTCCTAATGGATGTCCAGCTCCTGGTGCTTTGCGGCTGCTGTGGCACGTCATCAAGCAGCGGTCTGGGCAGGCATAAGCATTTCTGCAGACATGAAAGATCACTCATAAACCAGCGGGTTGGCTGAAGAGGATTCTGGCCATATGTTCTTATTTACCACTGGAATTTGAGCCATTCACTTGCTTCGTCTTGTTTCTGGCTGCTAATAGAAAGATCTGGCTAGAAACGAATTCATCCTGTGGATACATGGAAGCTGCTATCATTGAATGGTTGGAGCCTTGATCCAGCTTCCTGGAACTGTGTGGTGCCTTGGCAACCCTGAAGGCTAGATGCCGTGATCCTGACACAGGTTGCTGGGCACAAGAATGCAGCATTATCCTAAGTGAGTCTGATGTTCCGCACCTGTCGTCCATTTGCTTCACATGCACAGTGTGCAACAGTTGACTTTTGTAGGGTTGCTTTTGATACTAAGCTGACAGCTCAGTTAGCAGATGGTCAGCTTGTGCTTAAACGAAAAAAACATTCATTTAACTTCTTGTTCCATTTGTTTGAACATGCGGTCCACACAGAGCTCTCCGAACGACACACACACAAACACGCGCGCACACAAACATGGAACCCTTTGGCTGAGCCTGCGGAGTTCCGCCCTGGCCATCCATAATGTTCCGGACAGTGGTCTTCCGGGGGTCCGGAAGTGTGCTGGTAGCATACAAATGCGTTGGACTAGGAAATTGTCCTTCAATCTTATTGATCCAATGTGCTCTATTCTCATTTATTCTGCAAGATGTCGGGATGACTGTACTATGCATATGTCCACACTTATTGCACAGGGGGTGGTCTTTGCCTTCTTTGCTGCTTTTGGCTCGCCTTCAAGGAGGGTTGTAAACATCATTTCAACATATGACAGGCGGCGTCAAGTTGTGTCTGTAAGTACAGGATCCAGGCAGATTTTGCCGAAAAAAGTGGACGTTCACGCTGGCCGAAAACGGGCTTTGTACCACAGCTACCTTTAGATCCATTTATATATCAGCAGTTCGTGCCGATTGATGAGGCAAGCTGCCTTTGCACGATGCGGCATGGGGCCACGCTCCACCAGAGGTAGCCATTTTGCTGGCTGCTTGCTTTCCTGCAGGGCTGAAGGCGACAGCTAAAGCCGTGGAAACCTTGTGTTCAGGGAGCCGCTTCGGAATCACGGTCTGGTGTTGCTTCCTTCATTATTATCATTATAACCCTGACGTTTCGGTGTTTGGTTTCTAAACATGTGAAATGTATTGAGAGGTGCTCATTTCTTGGTTTGATTTGTGCCAATAATTATGCATCTGAACATGTGTTAGGCACTCTAGGCCCTTTTCGTTTTTTTTTGCTGCTTCAGCCCACCGGACAGGACCGCCGCAACCGCAGCCGGTGACTTAGGGTGTATGGCTGTCTGGCTGTGACACTGTTGTAGTTGCAGAGAGCAGAATCTATCGCTGGGACTAATCTCTGGAATGCCTTGGCTAGCTGATTCCTGACTGGCGTGAGTCATGAGTAGTTCGATACCCAGACACATCGGGTGAGGGCATGTGGCTAAGGTCTGGAATCTCCAGAGGACTTGGGGCGATATGTGCATTCGATGCTTGGTGAATGTGAACTCCCAGGTTCAGGGTTCAGAATTGTTCCCCCTGGTGCCTGTACACACGGGTGCTCATTGGAGACAGAGTGGTACTTTTTTTGCAGCTAGTAGCTTCTTGCTACTAGTGCATCGCTACTAGGAACAAGAGCAAGCTGCAGTGAGCTGTGCTCTGTCGTTTGAGTCCTGTGAGTCTACCATTATCTCTCAGCGAGGCATTCAATACTGCAATACCATTTGATCACGCTTCATGAGCTAGGCCGACCTAGGCTGGTCTCTATATAGTTTTGATCACCTCTTTTTGAACCCCAGGAACTTCTCGTGGCCATCTACTGATCAGTTAGAGGTGCACTTGGATTGGCTGTTTTGTTTTGTTTTGTCGGGTGTTTTTTAGTCGCCCAGTGGCCCATTTTCTCGACGCGAAACGAGTAAGAAACTCAGACTTTGAGATCGATCTGAGACGGGGGATTCTAGAGGATAAAAGGACACAGTGACAAAGCCTTACAGAGGAACAGTTTGGGATTTTGTTTTCACTCATTTTGATATTTTGTTGACCCTGATTGAAGAGAACTTACTCACAGTAGGCTCACCTATAGTATCACAATTGCATTTTCCTTTCGTGTGCCTGATTCTTTTTAGGCAACGTGCGGATCCAGTGATCAACGTGCACAGCCAACATCTTTTGCCATTCAAAGAGGGGCATCGGGTTCCTTTCGCATGGGAGTCGCACGCACACACGCAGGATCTCTGCTAGGCTCGAGCAAAACGCGTGCGAGCTGCTGGACAGCTCTTCAGCAAGTTGCAAAGACTCATGAACCAGAAGAAACAGGCCCACTCACCAGAGTTCTGCTGCATAAGATTGTATAAGTATAGGCTTTAGAGAGCACTTGTACATACTTGTACCAAGAGCAACTTAAGAGCAGACAACCTGTATTGTTCAATGAGAGCAGACATCAAGTTTAAAACTATACAATATTCAGAAGCCGTCAGAAGCCACTTGAAGACCATTCTTGGGAATATCACAGCCATTGCAAACAATCCTGAAGTTGGCCTTAGTGCCACAGGTTGGTCTTCAAGGCTGCCTTGCAGGAGCATAGAGCAGTGCATTCATCGTTGATCAGAGATGATGTCTGTAAGACACCTCGTTCGATGCCAGGACTGAACTTGGGTCCACGCGCAGCCTTTGCTGTTGCATCCTTCCTAAGTGATTCTGAGGACGGAAACGCCTACAGGTGAAGCTCTTGAGGTAAATTATGGGAAACTTTTCGGACTTCGTCGCCCGCCTACATAGGTCTCTGCATGCCAGTGCAGGTGCAAACGTAGTTACGCTGATGAAGCAGGGTCTGTAGGTCTAGGACAGACAAATCAAAGTTTTGTTTGTAGGGGCAAAGAACAAAACAGACTCTGCGGAGTTGGAACAACATAGCGAAGAGCACAGAGATGACAGAGAGAAGGCAAGGCCTCCTTTAAAGGAGCCTGGCGGCCTGACCTTTCTTTAGTAATTTGTTTGTATTACTTTTCTTGTGCGGATGATGTAGTGCAGACCACTGCTGGAAGCACCAGAGCCGCGGAGTGTCAAACTTGGTCTTTGCCCAGATGTCACTTTGTTAGGCTCAGTATCCTTCAGTGTTGACTGAGTTAAGATTTCCAAGACGGCTCACATATGAGTGTATACTGCAGTATACTCGGGCATATTGCATGATGAAGGTTTTGGATATGTTATTAACTTCTTCACATGCCTGTTCGCTTGAGCATCCCATCGTAGATGTCAAACACATGTGCGATAGTCTGCACAACACAAATCCATAGAGTTGACATCACAGGATTTGTTTCATTCTTGGCATCACAGGCCTTCCGGTTGAATAATTGAGACAACCCTACCCTTTGGACGCAGGAGTTGATCCATTTTGGCCTCACAATCAGGACGCTCCAGCAGCAGCTCGGCTGGCGACTCCGTCATTTTGACCAAACCATGCAAAGAACCGCGAGCCCTTCTGTGTTCTGTTTTGCTTAAACAGCAGATACCGATACCTCTATTGACGGCTCCTACACCTTTCCTTTGTGGCCTACCAAACAGTTTGTGTTGCGGGGTTGGTGCCTTGGCACATCACACTCCAGCGGCACTTGCAATGTATCCGTCCGCCATCAAGGCTCGAAGGACCCTACCCCTTCCGACCTGTCCCAAAAGGCAATATTTAATGATGTGTTTGAAGGTAGCAACAACTGCAACCAATCCAAGAAACAACCTCACGAAGTGCTGTCTCGCGAAATCCGGTTTGGTGCGGTCTTTTCACACCAACGTAGGCGTGGCATCAAGGTGCGAACGCTGCCCTCCCATCTTAGGAGGTCGAAGGTGGAAACACGGAGCCACGTGCCAGCGGTCGTTCGAGAGCATTCCTCAGTCCAGCAACCTTAGGTTCAGCATGTCATGGAGTGACATTCACACTGGTGGAAGAGGAAGCTGGATCGAAGCTCTCGTCCATGTCGGGCATCAAATCCTCTCCAACCTTGCACAAACCTTGCAAGGTCGAAGAGTATGGGTGATGTTCGCTGGTCGACCACGGGCACATGTGTAGGATGCGTGCCCGCATTCACCTGATTCTGTGCGGTAGATGTCTCTGCCGACAGCATTCCGAGCGCGGTTTCTCGTGCGCTCTTTGAGCTCCTTCTCATAGCGAAGCCGCATTTGCTCAAACTGGTAGTTGTGGACTTCGACCATACCTTGCAGCTTTCTGTTCATCTTGTTGTACAAGTCTTTGGACTTTGGACTTTATGTTCACCCGCAACAGCTGCTTCTTCAGGTCGGCAATCTCATTTTCCAACTCGCGCTCTCGGCGCCTCAACTGTACCAGAGTGAGAAGGGGGCGGTCTTCGTCGGTCTGGGCATAGTTTTCCTCGAGTTGAACCAACGGTGGCAGTTCATCCTCGCTTGTCTGACCTTCCTCGGTCAGCTCAGGCACTTGGGGTGTGGACCTCAAGGTCGTCCAACGGGTGGTGATGCAGTGCCACAACAAATGCCCAAACATTGCCACAAACAATGTAAACATTGTAAGGAACATGAAGTTGTACATGTCAATGTTGTCATTGGTGTTGGGTGGAGGTTCAGTGGAGTGCGCAGTGGAGGTGGTAGCTAGAGTGACAAACATGGCTGCGTTCAGCAGCTCCTTGGACTTGGGAACTGCGTAGCGCATCTGGTTCAAGCGCCGCGTCCAAGCTCTTCTTCTTTGAAGCCGTGAAGCTTGCGTCCGGTCGCAAACACGTGGTGTGGCTTCTGAGTCGTTGAGCTAGGAGGCCTGCTGCGGCTTGTTTTGTCATGCCGTCAGCGTACTGCAGTTCGCTCGACACCCAAGCTGTTGTAGCGCCTGTGCAGGAAAGCTTGTCTCTGGTGACCAGAACTTCTATGCTGGTCTGTTTGTCGGCTTGGGAGGCTGTCTGCAAATCCTGCTTGACCAATAGGTCGTACAGTGCTTTAGCATCAACCACCAACCGCGGTGGATGCTTCAACTTTGGGGTCTTGCTGTCCTCGAGCGCCAGGAAAGGTGACCAAATCAACTTCCAAAATGCTGAGGTGTACAGCAATGCGTCCGAAGCTTCGGATGCCGCTTGACTTTCAGCTGCCAAGCTCGACCTCGCCACGCGGGGCAACTTCCAGGAGCGCCAATCGATCAAATGGTACTGACCTTCTTGGCCTTGAGTGACTCCATGGTTGGTCATCATGATGAGATGACCCCCCTGCGATGTGAGATCGGCTCTCGATGCAAAGGCTGCGTCGCTATGAGCAACAAACGTCAATCTGCGCGGCTACTGAGTTGCTCAAACTTCAAACCAACATCACTGTACTGCTTTGCAAACCTCAAACACTTATTTGCTTCTTGCAATGTACCAACTGTTGCTTTGCTCACCATGCCTGCTAGCTGACTTGTCATTGCTTGCGGGCTGCCCTGTGTTGAAGGCCATTGTAATGCTCCAACCATTCCGCGAAGCATAGTGCGCTGCTTCTCGGACACTGCTTGCTCGGTTGGAGCCTTCTCAAGTGAAATGGGCTTTTGCTTCTCCAGGTAGGTGGTGTGTTTCACCTCGTAGTGGTGCTCATTGATCCGGTGGATCTTGGCTCCACAGTAGTCCATGTCACAGTTCTCCTCCCAGGTCCTGAAGTTGAAGGTCTTCTTCAAGCATTGACTAAACTTTTGGAAGGAGGGGCATTCCATGTTGCCGGTGCCCAGGATGTCGTCCACGCGAAGGCCTAATAGGCCGGAGAGTGGAGCATGCCGAACTGTGTTGCCATTGTCATCTGTCTGGCTGGTCCATTGCTCTTCTGGAGCATCATGGTCGTGGACCAGAAAAAGACAGGGATCCAGGGGGTGAACTACTGCTCCCAACTTGGTGATCCGCTCACGAGCTTCGGTGTACCAAGCTCTTGGTGCGTCACACAAACCATACATGGGCTTCCGAAGCTGCTTGTCCATGCCGAGCATTCGGGGGCGCCAGCTGGAAGCTGAATCCACAGTGTTCTGTGGGTTGGGTGCTCCTTGCCCTGCAGGAAAGCCGTGCTGACATCTGCACTGAAGGTAGCCCAGCCGGTGTTGGCCGCGATGCTCAGGCTGCTGGGTCTGCTATGGCCGGTGTGGTGCTTGTTCCCTCGGCTTGCATGGGTGGTGTGCTCTTGTGCTGGTTCAGGTTCTTCTTCATCTTCGGTGAGAACCTCAGAGCGTTTGCGCTTGTTAGAGCGCTGGAGGTCAAAGTACAGCGTGGCGCTGCGACCGCGAACTGTGAGTCAAGGGCGGTCTTGGCTCGTTGGATCGGGTCAGTGGTGTCGCTGTGGTTGAGGTCTGGTCGTAGGTGTTCTCCCGAGACTCTCAGCAAAGTGGTGCCGTGCGTGATCCAGTAGGTGTTAGTGCTGGGCCTGTTCGACTGGGTTCCGTCATGATCACGGTGGCGGGTCCCTTCCACCTGATCTTTGGCCCTGCTCCCCCTGGTGTAGGTGTACTGGATGGCGTGGTGCTGCCGAAGGAGTGCTCTCCTGAGTCTGGAGTCATTGTTGGCCTCGATCACTGCTATGGCTGCTTGCTTTTGCAGGTGAAGCTTTTGCTGCATAGCTTCACTGGGTGTGAGCTGTGCTGTGGTGAGGTCGTGATCCATAAGGACTCCGGGCATGCGGGGTTGAACTCCCATAGCCCATTGGGTAGCGCTGTAGCCTTGGACGTTGGGGGTGTTGTTGATCTGCGGGATCACATAGCAGATTGCTCCGGCCAGTTCGGACAGTGGCTTGTCTGGCTGCGGCTCTTGTGCTAGGAAAAGTTCAAGTGCACGTCGTAGGCGGGTGTGTGCCTGCCCTGGAGATATCTCCAATTGGATGCCATGGTCACTGGCCCAAGTCCTCAGAGTTTCTGAGGCCCATCCACGGTGGTCGTCGATCTGTAGGATGGCCGGGGGTCTGAAGAAGCGGATCCAGCTTGTCTCAAAGGCCGTGATGAGGTCATCGGACTGTTCCTTGGGGATGACTCTGGCTGTCGTGAATTTGGTGGTGGCATCAACGATGGAGAGGATTGGTGGGTGGATGAATCCACACGGTGTCTGCTTGTACTCGTGCGTTGAAGCTGCCGCCGGTGCGCAAACTGCTTTTTGGCACTTGTGGTGGTGGACGATGTGCATCGCATAGCGTGCATGTGTGTTGCTGCGCTGCTGCGATGATGGATGCACTGGCATTCCTCTGTTTGAGGATTCGAGCCAACTCCAAGTTGGTGGGATGGCCCAAGTTGCGGTGTAGTCGCTGCACTGTTCGTTGTGCTGCGGCAAAGTGCTGTTCCTGGAGCCGGGTCAGGATGCCTTTGTTGTTCGTGAAGTGCTCATCTGCTTCCGCTGATGCTTGTGGTTCATCGTATGGCTCATCGTCTGCCGCTTGTGGTTCGTGTGGTGAATCTGGAGTGTCCTGGTGAAGTGCTGTTTCAGGTTCATAGTTTGGCCAGTAGTGTTCCTGGACGTAGTGGAGAATGTCGGCCCATGCCTGACACACCTGTGATTGGTAACTGCCTGCGGCTTTTGCTCGACTGCCGATGTTTGGTGAGCTGCCCTCGATGGGCAGGTGGTAGTGCTCATCTTGGCATGCGCGCTCAAGGAGTTGTGCCAATGTCTCTGAGGTGACCCTCAGGGTGGTTGGCTTGCGGATGTACTGCTCAATGCCGTCATGGTCCGGAAGTGTTGCTCCATATTGGCATTGGTCGATGTGGGCGTCGTGTCCCTCTAGCTGTTGTAGTGTTTCGGTGTTCCAGGATTCTGCGTACCTGGGATGCTCGAAGAGTGAAAGCCGTCGTTTGTGTTGTTTGTTGTGTAGGTTCTTGCGGAATCGGAGGTGGGTTCCCTCCTCGTGCTGCTGTTGTGCTTCCAGTCGGTCTTGATCGGCCTGACTGCGGATGTTCAGGCGTTGGATGGGTGACCACTTTGTGCGAGGTGGTGCGAGCCAGATCACGTCCGGCGAGGTGAGGTAGTAGGGCTTGATCAGCTCCCGCTGGTGCTTTGGGTTCGTGAAGTCCCAACTGCTGAGGATGTCGAAGGTGCGCGCGACATAGCCTTTGGCCTGCATAGCTGAGGCCAGGTTGGCGTCTCCTGCATAGATCTCCCAGAACTGCGTGCGATGTTCCGCATGTGCTTGGAGCGCGGCCTCGATGGTGGCCTTGTGCTGTTGTGCTAGGTGTTGTTGGTGCGCACGGAAGCTCCGGACGAGTTTGTCCGTGAGTGCACGTCGGTGCAGGGTGTCATCGTCGTCCTCATCCATGTCTTCCGGATCGGAGGTGCTGTTGTCGTCCGTGTTGTTGTCATCATCTTGTGTGTTCATGGCCTGTTCATGTGAGAGCTGTGGTGGCTCAAGGCCTGTGAGCTCGAGGTAGTGCCACAGGGTGTATGGCTCTGTTGTGCTTGCTTGTGGCTCAAGTGACAACTGCTGGTAGGTCTCCTCCAGCATGTAGTCAAACTGATAGTCCTTGGTGTTGGTCAAACGTTCAAGCCCATCCCATCATCCAATCGCAACAGGTGTTCGTTGCGAGGGGTCATGATGATGGCCTGCCATGAACCATCTCGTACCTTCATCGTGCCCTCCATGAAGTTGAGCTGAATGCCAATGGCCTTCAGGATCGGGCGGCCGATCAGCAGCGGTGTGCTGCCTGGGACGATGAAGGTCTGTGCTCGACCTAGGATGCCACTGACACAAATGGGCAGGTGAACCGTCCATTGGGAATCTAAGGATCGGTCACCGCCGAACTGGAGGGTCTTCACTGTTGGGCGGAACTGGAAATCATCTGGTCCAATGTGGAACTGGCTGAAATGCTCGATGTACTGCATCAGGTTGTCATGGCCTACCGCCATACAGCTAGCGCCGCCATCAATGGTGCCGTGGATGCCGTTCGGCATGGTTGAGGCGTCCTTCATCTCGAAGTTCACCATGAGGGCGTTGTGATCACCCTTGGACTTCTTGGAAGTGGGTGATGCGCTGTTGCTGGAGGTGGTTCGTTTCTGGGTGCACTGGCTGCGAAATGGCCAGGCTGTCCACATCGAAGGCATGTGTTCTTGTTGAACGGACTGGAGGATAGGGCGGCCTTGCCCCGGGACTTGGCGTCACCTTTCTGGGGTGGTGACCTGGAGGTACCTTTGCCCTTGAGCCCTTGGATCCTTTCCCCTTCGGAGGATAGGGGCGTTGGGATTGGGCTGAGCTGGATGGACTGGGGTCTGCTAGGGCCACAACTGGATAGTAGCCACGGTTGGTCTTGAGCTCTGCAAACCTTCGGCGGGCATCAAGATATGATGCGTACGCCTCTTCCCACTCGGGGTCGTCAACGTCAGGCATCGTCCTCCTGATGGAGAACGCCCTCCTGCTCTTCCTCCTCATAGTTGACCTCTTCAGGATCCTCAGGCCAATCACCAAAGTAGGCGTCAGCCTCATCACCTTCATAAAATTCATCGTTGGCGGCGTATGCCGCTTGGGAGCCCTTCTTCTGCCACTTGTAGGCATTCTTTCCAGCTGAGCGAGGAGCATTGTAGGGCTTGCCACGATGGTCATAGGTGGAGCGGCCACGAAAATCTTGGCCAAACAAAAAGTACATAGCCTCTTCAAGTTTTGTTTCCTCCAATGTTGCTCCACACTGTGATTGTACCAATTGCTTCTGCTCCTGAGACAACCCACGCCTGCGTAGGAGGAGCCAACCAGTCACTTCCGCCGGCAGGGAGATGCTGTGTTTCTGGACCTCCCGCAGTGCTTCACGATGGTCAGCGCAGTACGACATCAATGTCTGATCCGGCCTTCTTGAGAGGCTATAGAAAAACTTCTCGAAGGCCCTTGGTTGCTCAACACGGTCATCGTAGTTGAACGTCCGGTCCAAAACTGCTATCAACTTTGAGAAACCGTCCTTGTCCTCACTCAAAGCGTCAGCTTGGGGTTCCAACTGCTTCCATGCTGTACCGGTCATGGTGGTGAGGATGTTGATGATTCCTTCAACAGGTTTCTTCTGCAGTTGCATCTTCTTGTAGTACAAGTGGATGCGAGCCCTCCACTCTCTGTAGTCCTGAGGCCGATTGCTAAAGGTCGGCGCCCATGAATCCTTTGTGGTGTCACCAGCTGTGCTCGAAGCTGAAGCCATCTGCACAACGTGTAGCAACGCTCAATGTACGACGATCAACGGTCAAGGTGCAATGTCCAATGCTCAATGTCAACTTGCTCAATGAACAACGGTCAACAACCAGGATGCAAAATCCAATGTTCAATGTCAACTTGCTCAATGTACAATGTATGACAGGCGAAGGCCAATGCACGGGTTGCAAGAGCAATGTACCAATGTGCAACTTCTACCAAGTCACAAATCAACAACCAACTGTCAACTGGCAGCACGGTAGGGAGTCCCTGGTCGGGGCTCCGCTACCAATTTGAAGGTAGCAACAACTGCAACCAATCCAAGAAACAACCTCACGAAGTGCTGTCTCGCGAAATCCGGTTTGGTGCGGTCTTTTCACACCAACGTAGGCGTGGCATCAAGGTGCGAACGCTGCCCTCCCATCTTAGGAGGTCGAAGGTGGAAACACGGAGCCACGTGCCAGCGGTCGTTCGAGAGCATTCCTCAGTCCAGCAACCTTAGGTTCAGCATGTCATGGAGTGACATTGACAATGTGTATATATATATATATACAATTTTGATCTTGGATTTCTGAAGCCTGAATCATTGGGAAACACTCTCAAGTCAACGGTGCTTGGAGTGAAACCTAGGTTAGACTCTTCAACAAGTAGATGGGACACAGGCAAGTAGTTAGTTAACTTAGTAAGGTTAATCATGCCGTTTCATACAATGTCTTACATATGAGGTTCTCGACTCGAGGTTTTGAGGTTTCGCGAGTGACGCCTGGAGACCCGGAAGAGTTGATTGGGCTTTGCATGGCAGCAACCAAAATGATCGACACCCCGTGAGGCTGTGCGGCCCCACAGCCATACCAAGCACAAGAGATGGAAAGCTGAAACCGGCTGATGAGGCGTGGCTCTATACTTGACATATATTACAGAAGCACGAGTGACTCTGGGTGGCATGCTTGCACTGGTTCCCTACCCCGCAAAAGAACTAGGAACAGTTGGATTTGTTGAGTAGTTTGAGATTTCTACTTGCAGGCGTTATATAAGGCTGTGGAGTCACACCTTTGCTTTCTCACAGTAGCGGCCATTTCAAGTGGTCAACATCTCCCAGGCAGTTGCGCCGGCCAACTTCATGCAGCTTCACCAACCTGCAGTGTCTCGAAGAGGTCGCACTGTGCTGGACAAGCTGGTGCCGGATACGCCGACGCAGGACACGCAGAGGCCGAGACAATTATGGCATTTGTATGCTTTTGTGCTAACCTAAAAGCGATGGCCTCCACCCTAGTAGTGATGGCGTCCACCCCAGTAGCGATGGCCTCCAATGCTTTTGTGGTATTCCACAGCATCCACAACGTGGATTTTGACAAATTTCATTTTTGCGGCACAGGCGCCGAGATGCATCGCCCACTGGCATTCAGCACTTGCGAGAGCACTTCTTGAGAGACAATGGTGTCTACGGTGGTGCATGTCGTGTTGGAAGCTCAGTGACATGCTCTTCACAACATTGATCCCAGGTCCCAATGTTGCCAAAGTCATTGCCCTTTTGTGCGATGAAACCGCTCATGGTCAGTTGAGAAAGGTAGCAAGGAGGTGACAGCAGCAATTGGTTCTTGTGCTTACAAGCCTGACAGGGTGGTTTTGTCAGCATGGTTCTGGATGGTCTCTCCCCTCCCGGACTCGTATTATTGTCGCGCTGGTGAAGCTCTAGTTCTGCCTGGGATGCATTCCTGAGTCCCTGCAGGTCCCTGCAATAAACTGATGAACATGCCTACAACATCATACAAGACATGTATATAAGTCCTAGATCCCAGTGGCTGCAGTGGAACACACACACACAGACACACCCCCACGTGCACGCACACGCACACGCACACGCACACACACATCCACACGCAGACAGAAGCACCAAAAACACATCCATACAGACTATTCAAGACAAGTACGTCAATGTTAAAGTTTTTTGGATGAAAAGTACGTCACTTGGCACTCTAACTGTCTCCATCCACAGAGGTACGCAACCGCCGCTGCAGCTTTGTGGAAGTGTCGGAGGTGCAGGCGCAGCCGGCGCAGCGGGCGCAGCCGCAGCTTCGGATTGTGAAACGGTGAAACTTCAGTGGAGAATGCTATTGGTGAAACAGTGGAGAACACCTTGACATACCTTGACTAGGAAAGGAGCTTTGATTGATTGATATGACATGCACATAGCAAACTGTGGCATGGATTAACTGTGCATTTTTTGTCATTTCTTTTTTGCCAAGGGTTTACAGTTTAGTTTTAGCTTCCATTTTCCCGTTTGATTGGGATGTCGCGAGGTTGGCGAAAAGCGCTTCAAGTTGGAAACGCATGTCTCCCGCACTGTGCACAGCAGCATCTCGGACCGAGCATCGTTTCGATTCGAACGGGACCGTCACTGACTGGACCGAGGTATCCAGCGAAAACCATCACCCAAACCGTGGCCATGCAAACGCTTGTGGCAGTGCCCTTCCTGCAGTGGGTGAACCCGGAAGAGGAATGAATGGAATGAGGTTCTATGGAATTGGGATTTGGTGGCGATGAGGAATGAGGGTTGTCAACCTGTAGCATTCTGTAGCTAGCTAAAACTGCACCTGATGCCAAGGAGAGAGCGCCTTCGAGACCGTCGGGAACGCTGCCGCTGCAGTTGAGGCTTCGAATCTTGTCTGGAAAACAGGCTTCGAATCTTGTCTGGAAAACCATGAGAAGTACCGTCTCAAGATTGCAATCTGCAATGTTCTTGGAGATCGGACGCAGTACCCCATTGTGATTTTTCGATTCTGGTTTTAGAGTTTAAACGGCCCCCAGTGGCGGGCTGATTGCCAGTCTTTGACCATGAGAGACGAGAACCGAGAACCCCTGTTTTGGCTGGTTTACCCTTCAAAATGAAGGCAGCGAAGCAACAGTATTTGAAGCCCTTGAGTGCTTCAAACTCCTTAAACGTTGTGTAGTTGCACAGGAACCTCTTGCGCAAGCGTCCAAGATGACTGGCTGCACCACTTGCTGTATAAACAAAAATATACATTTTTGGCATGCGGACTCTGTTGGCAAAGAAAAGAGCTCAAGGGAGCACCCCTTCCAATTCATTGATGCCTTGAGCACTTCAACCTTGACCGCCCCAGTGACATGGCCGCCCAACAAGAGAAGATTTGTTTGTTTTTCAGCAAGTTGCCTCGCACTCTAAAAACTACTACATGAAGCGAGCCCATCAAGTTAAACCTCATGTTCATTCGGGGCATGTCTCACACTTGCACCTGGAAATCTAGCATAGAGATTTGTGTGATTTGGACAGATTTATGTCACTATGTACCTCGAGAAGAGGTATATAGGAGTTATTGAAGATAGCAGCTCTAAAATCATTCTCAGCGCAGCCAACCATTGAGACACAGCGCCTTGTACAGTTTGTACAGTTGATCCGCCGTTGGCATTAAAAAAGAAGCCCGAAGCCCTCAAAATTTCTATAATTTGCAGTTATTTGCAGTGAGAATGTGAGCACTTTGCACTGATTGAAAGGCCAAACCCCCAAAACCAATGGCCCTATATAGAACAAGGGTGGACAAGTTTTGGTCTAAAACGTTTTAAGGACGGATACCGGGCCCATCATACATAGTATCCCTCATTGTCCGAAACGCCTGGAAGATTCTCTTTTGATTTGGAGTAGACCGCGCATTTCGGGACTTCTAGACTGGGCAGGGAGTGTCTTTGACCTGTTGAAGAAGTGGCTGTCTTTTTGCCTTGTCGCAAATGTCCTCACGTCCATCCGTTTTTGGGTTCGAAATGTACTGTAGTCCTATGTAGTGCTTGCGGCGTCCTTCTGTTGAGGATACATACACCTACTGAGTGTCAAAGAAAGTGAGACCAGATTGTTCGGTGATTGAGAACCTCCCGAGAAGAACAACAAATTTTGCGGTAGTCCGGTCTCATTTCTGCAGTAAGCGGCTGAACTGGAAGTTTTCGGCTCACCGTATGTTTTCTTCGTCGAGTCAACAGATTGGGGTGAAAGACGCCGTAGAGAATCGCCAGGGCTTCGACCATCACTGTCGCTATTTGAATGTGTGCGTGGGGGGAAGGAGCACGGGGTACAGAAGCTTTGTTGCTGAACACATTCTTCATGGTCTCGCTGCAAGTGTCAGCGCTGCCGTCCATACCTGCATGCATACGTAGCCAAGATCGCTCCATGCCTCTTCAATCTTAGCAACCAACCTTGGCTAGACCTGACTGAGTGGCTTGAATGTCCTCAATCTTTCTGGTGCATCGTCAGATTGAATTGCATTCAGCCTGGAATCCAGCCTAGCCAGTATTCCACATCCCGCCTCCAGGACGTACCCAGCCTGGTACACCTTTGTGGCTCGGGAGCCAAGATGGAGTTTCACAGTGAACAACTTGCGGGCCCTTTTCGACTGATCTGAACTCTAGAGAAGGCCAAGTGCGAATCTTGAACGTCTCCCTGAGCAGAGCGAAGATGAGCGAATCAGAGTAGGACCTTCATGGACTGGTTGTTTTCGTTTTTTGATTTCTCATGGTGGTTCTGTGCCTAGTTGCTGCTCTTTCTGCTGGTGGTGATGTGCGCCGTGGGCTGCGTTCAAGTGCTGAACGAGCCCTTCAGGTGCGGTGGTAGCACAAGAGTTGCAGTTCAAGTAGGAGTTCTAAAGTATGCTTTGGAGCCTCCTACCGACGGCATATTGTCATATATTATCCTCCACCAACTTCGGTTACCTTGCACCAAATCTCTTCTTACCAAGCTCTGCAAATGGCGCTTGAGCTGCTCCGTACACGTAGAAAGACGACAACGATCACGCCTTGCATACAGGCACAATCTCCATGAGGAGTACCCGACAGTGTTTGGGTCTCAGAGCAGATGCTGTCTTTCTGTTTTATGGTATGCCAAGCCAGAATCTGTCTTGCTTAACCTTGTCCTTTAAGTGAAGGTACAGAAGGATATTCTCTAGGTGATTCTAAGTGCCACATTTGACCTGGCAATTAAGCAAGTGCCCAAACCACATTACCAGGGTCAATATGGATCGTCCTCACTCTATGATGCTGAGTCCTGAGTCAGCATAGCTTCCAAGTCCTGAGGTTTTATGTCCTTCTCGGGACAGCAGCCGTGGTGGCATCCTGAGGGAAGCCATGCATTGCGTACTCAAATGATATGCATCAGAAGTGTTTTTTTGTGGCTTGAAGGCTTGAAGCGAAGGAATCTGATTTCTCTCGGTATCCACATGCATGAGTATATATTGAACAATGAAAGAACAATGAAACAATACTGTAGATTCTTGATAAATAAAGCCTCCAATCAAGAGTCTACAGTATTGCCAAGCAGCGGTTTGTGCTCCAAGGCTTCGGTCATCGAAAGCCTTTTCCTTCTCGCCCTTCTGGTGCACCCGCTACCGATTGCCGGTCGCTCCATCACTAGTGCTGTTGGATGAGGAATGGGGAGCTAAGGGTATGAGTAACGGGATGTAAAGGGTTTTTCATTGCGATTCATATCAGGCCTCACTTCATTGCCCGGGAAATAGCTTGTTATTCCGTGCATACTGCTGTAAGTATCCTTCCCACACACACACACACGATAGACGGAAAGCCAATTTTGGTTGCTGTGCGAGTACCCCGCTGCTGAAGATGGACCTTCACCTATCGTCGGGTGTTGCAACAGATCAGCCTCATTGCCAAACCTTGCAACACTCGGGCAAACATAGATTGGCAATGATTGGCCGAACGCTACAAACTGCTGCAGGGTTTGGATCCTGCAAAACGTTTCGAGGCGCAGCACTCTTACTTCTGCCTTGCAGGCTGGGCACCACATTCAGCAAACAATACAAAATATCAAGCAACACCTTGAGGGAAGGGGTGCAGGCACACGTTTCACCCTGCTTGACTAACTTCAGAATATAGAACATCGTTACAAGTCCTAAGTCAGTTTCTTCTATTCCGCCACCCCAAAGCTGGGTGTCGTCTGAAAGACTGGTGACAGGGGTGGCAATCCATGAATCATTCACGCAACAACACCTGGGAAGGTACACTCACCAACTTAGCAAGACATCCAATAAGGATTGGCTTTTGTCCTTTTCGGTTTTGGATTGCTTCAGGAATAACCACCTTGGAGTACATCAAGGACCAGGCTCCAAATCTGTGCGTTGCCTGGAAAGATGTCACAAAGGATGACTCATGCAAGAAGGGAGAGACACAATTTGCCAACATTGCAAGTTTGGCAAGATGGCATTGCAATTTTTACCTCTCCAAGCGGCTCATGGATGCGCGAGGAAGCCTAAAGGTTTCTCTCATAAAGGGCTGGGCAGTAGAATGTTTAAAGGGGTAGACCCTTGAGGGACTTTCTTCTGGCACATTTGTTGCAATGGTCATGCGGGACAATGCTGTCCAATACAAGTAGATCGTGAGAAGTTTCAAGTTCTCAACGGGCCCTGAGCAAGGTGACCCCTGATTGTTTTGTTGGAAGCTAAGCTCTCAAAGAGGTGTCTCGATTTCAAGACCCTCGCTTTGCAAGAGCTTGCACCTAAACTAGGACATGACATGCCTGCTACTGATACTTAGGCGCGCCTAGTTTGCTCAGTACCTGGGAATCCAATGTTGTTTGTGGCCAGGGTGACAAAAGCCACGCCGATGCATGATGAAAGCAGACCTGAAAGAAGAGAGATTCGGTGTGTGATTCGTCTTCAAGCCGCAGGCTCCACCATTTCCAAGCCTTCCGCCACGAGGTTGGCGAGAGGTGTGGACACCGAATCTCCCAGCTCACAACATGTTGGGAAAGATGTTGTGGCCTGGCTGTTTGCTGAGTGTGAACCTGTCCGGGTGCTAAGTAGGCCTCCAGCCATCCTTACTACCTGTGCAGCTCATGAAGGTTTAATGAAGCTTAAGTGTTGTCGTCGTTCTTTGACACCCATGCATCCACTGTTGGCCAGGCTGAGCGTTACACCTACTGTTCGACGCCGTATTTCAATCAGACGTGATGTGCAGTCTTGAAAGCTTGTCCGAGCGAGGCCATTTCACAGGGTGAGTGTCACAACTGCCACGGTTTGATTCAGCCGCTCGGCCTGAAACAGGCTTCGTATTTTTGACGTAGTGTCGGAACACGCTTCGTATCTTTGACGTAGTGTGAGTTTTGGACACCAGTATACACCAGTATAGTAGAGTCTTCGAATCAACAAACAATATGTTGCCGGAAGTTTGGAAGAGCCACATGAAAAACATGGTTGTCCGGGCGCTCCATTTACTGCAACGACGTACGTAGTTTTGCAACAGGTGCCATTGTTATGTTGCAATGCCTCGTTGTGAGCTATAGGCAAGTAGCGGCAAGTATCAAGAAGTAGCATGAGCGTGATTGGGAAGGACAAGTGTTTACGCGTAGTAAAGCTATCTCCCAATCGAAAGCGATGTTTTATGCGTCGCTGACGTGTAGAAAGCGGACGACTTTGATCAATGGACAGCTCTTTTTTAAGGCTTTCCGAAGCTGCTGATGCCGACGAAGTGCCGTTGAACCAAGCTTGGCCACGGGAGAAGAACGATGAGAAGAAAAGAACACGCCAAGAAGAACCCAATGTGCTTTAAGGAACCTAATAGCAGTGGCCTCCAACCTAGAAGCGATGGCCTCCAATGAAATCGTTGTCATAGTGGTTCTGTTACGTATGGTGTTTGA